TGCCAGGTCTGGGACTCAAACCGTGGTGGCCATGTGGGAGTCCAGCACCTTAACCACCATGCCACCTGCTGGCCCCAACCCTTCATATTATTGTACCCATTTTATAGATAGGTAAACTGGGCTCAGAGAGCTATCCAAGGTCCCACAGCCAAATGGGATTCCAATTCGGGCCCCTACACTGTGCACAATGCCACCTGGCTTCTCTACCACACAGCCAGCCCTCTACTGGGTGTGGAACATTGGCCGACAGAGGCCTGAGGTCTTTAGGTGATGCAGAAAGGAGGTCTCCCACCATGGCACCCTCCCACGTGCCTCGTCATAATACTGGGATTATGTCTGAGGGTGAGACATTTCAAAGCAATATGTGCTTTTGAAATTGAAGCATGAATGCTTCAATGCTAGGCATGAGTACCCTAGCACCATCTTCAGAGGGTCAGAACTAGGGTTCGGGGCTCAGACAAACCATGGCATCTGCTGGGCATGTTTCAGTCTCACTGTGGAGCTCTTTGAATCCAAGGACCACAGTGTTGCCCCACACGCCACCCCGTAATTAGCTTTCTCCACCTCCTGATACCAGGTTGGGAAGAGCTGGAAGAGTTCCCTGACTTTTGCCTCCCAAGAGAGGTCTGAACCCTGAGACAGCTCCTGCAAGGGCTGGGGGGTGAGGAGAAGCCATCCCGGACCTACAGGGAAAGCGAGGGCTGCATAGTCCACACGGGATGAGACACTAAGGTGGAGGCAGAGGTGAAGGGGACACCTGGAACTTTCTAAAGAACCAGCCAGGGAGTGAGCATGCGGATGGGCACCCTTGACAGGAAGGAGAAGGCGATGGTCTCAGGGTGCTGATTTGGACAGACAGGGCCATCCACAGACCACCCCGGGCGCCGTTATTCAGGCTCCTCCACCCTCACCCATCCTGGTCTGTTTCAGCATCACCACCAAGAGCGTGTCCAGGTACCGGGGTCAGGAGCACTGCCTGCACCCCAAGCTGCAGAGTACCAAGCGGTTCATCAAGTGGTACAACGCCTGGAACGAGAAGCGCAGGTACGACCCCTCCGCCCCTTCCTGCCCACCTCCTGCCAGACCCAGCTGCAGCTCTCAGGAGGGAAGGGATCCCCACACACAAGGCTACCTGTCGCTAAGGGGTGAACACCTACCGCAATATCCACAGCGAGCTTCTGCGTAGACACTGCACGCGTACCCCAGGGGTGAGGAGCTCGCCACGTAACAAAGCAGGCTTCTCCTTCCGTGGACAGTCGTAGAACTGCAACTTATTCTTCCATGGACAAAATCCTCTCTCACTCTAACTTTTACAATATAGTCTTAATTCCTCTTATTTAAATCGTGTTAGCTGTCAAATGGCATGTGTCTGGCATGGCTGATTCCTGTGGTTCTTGTGGGGTGAAAAGCGACCACGTAAGTGACTATTATCAACGGTGGGCACACTGTGAAATGAGGATGGCTCCTTGTCAACAACATGGCCTCCTCGCCAAGGTGCCCCATGCCCACTGCTGCCCAGAAACCTGAGAAGTCCTTCCCAGCAGGTGGGCCTGACCCTCTGAAATCAAAGGGCCAGCATGAGATGACAGCACCAGAAGACCCCTGTGTGGAAGGGGCTGTTTCCCATAAGAGCAGGTGGCTCCCTAGCCTGATCCCCTGGGCTCTGAGGTCTGGCCTTGGAGGGGGAGGCTCCTTCCTGGCTCCCCCACGTCACGTGGAGGTGAGCCTGTCCTGGAGTAGGCCTCAGACACGCAGGGCCTGTCAACATCCCACCTGCATCGCATGACCAGGGAAGAGCATGCATCACGCACATCTCACGTGCCAGTGACTTCCCAGGAGCTGATACCAGCGCCTCACCGGCACACGGAACCAAGGTTAAGCTAGGGGGGAGAGTGACGTACCTGGGAGCACAGGCAAAGCCAGAGTGGGAAGCCAGGGCTCCCAGGCCGCCCCCTCCCCCAGGGGACGCCGGCACTGCCCTTTGCCTCACCCGCCCGACCCGGGCACGAGCTCAGCCCTGTGACCAGCTCTCCAGCGCTCGCAGTTGGACCCAGTGCCTTTACCTGGGCCTTTCTTCTGCCTCCAAAACTGCCTCGTCTGCAGTTGCTTGAAATAGAAAGTGATGAGAGCGAGAGATTACCTTTTATAAATCTGATGAGAAGGAAGCCTTCTTTCTGGTCAGGGCAAGGAGCTCGCATGGCAAAAGTAAGATCTGCCCCATCCACTGTCCGCCACCCCAGGCCCACTCATGGCAGGGGCTGAGAACATCTTGTCTGAAAGACACTCAGACCTTTGCCCATTTTGGTCCTCCCCTGTCCTGGGCTGCAGCTTTGAAGAACTGAAGGAGGGGGCAGCCATGGACCTAAAGTGTCCCTGCTTTTCATTGCTGCGAATTCCAGCAATGAAAGCAATGAGAGCTTCTTGGCTCCTAGGCCTTCCGTCTCTTCATTACAAAACTACTTCCTCCTTTCCGGGAGTGCCGTGGTGCCCTGTGAGAGGAAGGGGCATGCTCTTGCCCTCTGCATGCCCTCCCCTGCAAAAGGTGAAAATGTCTTAATATGGGAGTATAAGATGGAGATAAAGGAACTGTTTGAAATCCTCTTTGCAGAGAGAAAGAGAATGCCACACTCAGGCCCAGGGCTCAGAGCTCCCTTGTCTGGGTCCCCATGGCCTGAGGTAGGCTCAGACAAGCAAGCTCTGAGCACCCTGGAGACCAGAGCCCCTGCTGCCACAGGAAGCAGCCATGTAGATCATTTTATTTCAATGCATACTTCGATGGTCTTACTCAGAAATCAGGAGCAAGGCAGGGTAGTGGTGGGCCATCTGAATGTGAAGCAGGGCCTCAGAGCAGCCATGAGGCAGAGCTAAGAGGGACTAAGATACCTACATGGAAAGAGCTCAGGAAGTGAGTGGGCGAGGTTGCTTGTGAGTGCACACAGGCCTGGTCACCAGCAGAGGGGAGGCAGCGCGGCACAGGACCAGGGACCGCCAGGCGCAGGCTTCCAGGCGCAGCTGCTTCTAGAGTGGGGTATTTCTGATGGACATGCCTTCTTTGGGCAGAATACAAGAAGACAAGCCTAAGACAAGGAAGGGGGTGTCTCCCCACCTCTTTACCCCACCTCTGCTTGTTTCTCCAAGATGAAAGGCTGAGAGCAGATGAGGAACGGAACAAGGATGAGTGCAGGAGCTGCCTGCCATGCCAGAGAAAGACCTGGTTCTCACACTAACAGCCCATGGCCACTGGGCAGATCTTAGGTGTCTTGTGCCTCAGTCTCCTCACAGGCAAAGAGGGTTTGCTCCATAGGACTTTGAGACTGCAGAGGCAGAAGCTGATTAGAAAAGGTCGTGCTAGGGCCGGCAGGTGGCATGGAGTTTAGGTGTCTGGATTCCACATGGCCACCTGTGTGACTCAAGTCCCAGACCCGGCAGCTTGAAAATGACAGGTGTGTGTGTGTGTGTGTGTGTGTGTGTGTGTGTGTGTGTGTGTGCATCCATGCCTAAAATCCCTAGAGGAGAATGGAGGAGAAGGGATTGCAGTGCAGTCATCCCCCCGGAGGGTAATTTCTCTTTCCC